GCGTGCAGGTCATTTGGCGCTGCGGGTCCAGGCCCGCTGCCCAAGCTCCATCTCCTCTTGGTGCTGTGTTTGGCCCTGACTGTGTCTGATCCATGGGCCTCCAGCTCTAAGGAGCGAACCTGGGGATGGCCCCTTTCATTTTGTTTTATGATATTTAAAAAGAAAATAGAGACTTTACCAACTTGAATTTAAATCTCTCCCCAAATACTTTTACATTGTGCCTCTCATGAAATCCAGTATGGAGTAAGAGCCAGGAGAAAGGCTGCGTAATTAGGGCCATCATTAATTAACTAAAATCCTTGGATTTTGCCAAATTAAGAACATGGGAACAGTTGCACCAATGCAAAGAGGGAAAAGAAGGAATGGAAAAGTGATTTCTTGAAATTTATTTCCGCCATATTTTAATGAAATGATCTTCTTTAGGCTGGTTAAACACAAAGAAGTCTAATGAACTGCTACTTATTAAGTAGCTGAGTCAATTTCTAAGTGCTGTGCCTGGGACTTGCTGTTGCTGCAAAAGCAGCTTAAATGTCTCTCTTACAAAACTATAAGAAATATTTCGGTGGAAAGTGTATAGTTACGTCTTCTAGGGAACTTGTCTTAGAAACCAGACTAGCAGCTCTCAGTACAGGTTAACTTAAGAAATTGGGGGTTCGGATATGTAAGGCCTAGAATTATTCTATACCCAGGGAATGTTTGCCACTTATGCAAACTCATTTTATTTCCCTCGTCAATGTACATAGTTGTGGGCATCAAGGCATTCTAAACTAAAAACGTCCAAGTTGTTCTACGAAGGCAAGAAATATGTTCGTAGCATCAGGAAATACGCCTAACCAGTTATGGAGATAACTAACACCGGAAATATTCGCCTCGATTCCTCTTGTGACATGCACTGGGAGAGAGGCAAGCCATTTTTCTGGACAGGCAAGGCCTTGTTCCTCTCTTTTGCTTCCTCTGCTGACTCTTTCTTTGCTAAACGACCTTGTGGCTAAGAGAAACGGAGCTTGTCCTTGGCATGTTTAGGAGAAATGACATCAGGGCCCTGTTCCCAGGAGGGGACAATGCATCGAGCCATCGAGTCTGACAGTTTATAACACGACGTCCCTGATCAATGCGGATCTTTTTCCTGCCAATGGGTGAAAGAGGGAGTCTTCGGGACTGGAGAAAACCACCATTTTCCAAGGAGTTCATATTATTCTACGCAGATTAAGTCGTCAACCTCCTCTGCTTGGCAAAGGGAGCCGAGGAAAAAAGCCGGAAGGAAGTGGCTCATTGCACGTCAGATACAAGGTCTGCATCTTTCACAGGAACAGGGTGGCATCAAAGAGCGACACACAAGACCGCCCCAAGGACGTTTCATGCCAGAACAACAATAAAAGGTTCCCGGTGTGCTGTGGTGTTAGTTACCTTATCACCAACTAAATGTCAGCCTTTCCTCATCAATTGCAAGAGACTAAAGTGAATATGCAAAGCTTCTTGGCTTAGAAATGGAACTCAGGATGCATTTCCTATGAAAATAATGTCAGAAAACGTGGTTTACTCAAGTTCGACCGATGCTCGATGCTCGGTCCAGTCCTAACATTTCGATAAGGCCCCCAACTGGCATGTTCAGCCTTATTTTCTAGGGTTTCAAGTCCAGATGACAAGAACCCACTTTTTGCCTTAGTGACAGAACCCCTTCTGAATCACTGATCTCCCCTGAGGTCAGTCTTAACCTACTGCACACCTGCGGCTTTCGAACTTATTTGCAGGAGATAAGACATGTCTCAGGTAAGTTGCTTCTAGGGTCACAGGGAGCATACCTCAGCGGGGGCC